CCGTTTCCCTTTGTCATGTTTTGTCACCCACTCCCCTGCATCATCCCTTCTCCAGGAGTCCCTGTTCCCCCTGCGGCAGCTCACGAACACCGGCCGAGGACGCAATTTTGGGGGACATAGCACCACCCTGACACTCCGAGCACCCCACGGCCCTGGGTCACATCTCCCTGCCACGCCGGGACTGGGGAGCCCCTGCTCCCACAGCCCTGGCACCAGCTTGGCTCTGCCCAGGAAATCATGTCCACAAGGAAAGGTCATATGACGGGCCCCAAATCCAGCACAGCCCCAGCCCCCGCTCCTCAGTTTCAGCGTTTGGCAAAGCACGTGTGTAAATCCCAGTAGTGCTGAACTGGGGAACCGTGCTGGTTCGCATCAGAGTCACTCCATCCCCCCTGGGGCACTGATCCTGCCTGGACCTGGATGCCTCCTGCCAGCAGCTCAGCACCTTCCAACGCAGCTCTGCTCCCAGCCCTCCGGGTTTCCAGGACCTGCTCTCGGTCCCACCGCTTGTGCCCTTGGAGGCCGTGTTGCTGCCTTGCAAAACACCACCACCAGCGTTCACCCAGCATGGCAGGGCACAGCGGGGGTCATCCGGGTCCCCTCCCTGGCTCCACCAGCCCCACAGGTTCATGGAAATCCTGGGGAACACCCCCTCCCCAGCCTGGCTGAGGGGAAACCATCCTGCCAGTGACGGTGCCTGTGCTTCACTTCACCACTCCCAGGAGCTGGCCTTGCTTTGATGGGACATAAAGCCTCTGAGGGATTTTGCAGGATGGGGGTCTCAAGGACCAGGCTTCCCACAAGGGTCTTGCTGCTCCTAAACCAGGGGGAGGGAGAGCTGGGCAGCTTGGGGTGTTGGGTCCCAGCCCCATCTGCCTCCCTCCACCCCAGGTGCAAGTGGGGTGTTCTGTATCACCTCAGCACCCTGAGGGGGTTACCCCAGAGGCCTATGAGGGATGTTGAGGGGGGTCACCAAAGGCATCCTAGTGGTGGGAGGGAAGGGGAGAAGCGCAGGGACCCTGCTTGGTGGGGGCCACAGAGATGGGACAGGTGCAAGAGGAGGGGGCTGTCTTTAGTTATCGTTATTGCTGGTGAATTAGACCAACAAGCCATTTTTAGTCACCTATCAAGGAAGATACAAGTCAGAGCAAATAGTTAAGGTCATGGGCATTTTTCTTGTTTTTTGTTTTTATTTTTTTTTTTAAGATTTTTATATATATACATATATTTAAAAAGAGAGAAAAAAAAATTACGCAAATTTGTTGTTTAAGCCCCGCAACCGGGCTCCCCATGGATGCCAACAGGCAGGGCCTGGGCTGCCCCTCTCTGGGTGCCCCGTGGGGCCAGGGAGTGGGCTGAGCCCCCCGAGCCCCCCGTAGCCCCCGCTCGGGGCAGAGGTAGCTCTCGGTGCGTTTACAGCGCCTGCTTTTTCTTTCTTCCAAAGTTGCTACATCAAAATATGGAGTTGGTGGGGGATACAGGGGGAAGCAGGGGACAGGGAGAAATCAAAATAAAACAGGGGCCGAAATACTTCTATTAATTTTAAACTAGAACTGCTACATCAAGCTTTCTTTTAATATATATGTATATGTATATATATATGTGTGTATATATATATATATATATAAAGGTTATTGGAACTGAAGATTTTATTAAAGGCCAACTTGGAGACTTGAGTAGGAACCTTGTCTGCAGAGAGGGGTAGCCCCCTGGACAGCCCCACTCCGGTTCCCATCAGCAAGCATTGGACATTTGTTTGGGTCATGATTCCTTTTTTTTTTCCCTTCTTTTTTTTTTAAAAAAAAGAAAGGGTTTTTGTTTTTTTTCTCTAACATTTTTCAGCATGCAGGAGGCTTTTACATCGTTTTCGCTTGTTAAGGTGAGGGAGGAGGTACAAGAAGCAAAGGACAGCCCCCCATACCTTCCCCCCTCTCCACTCCCAAGGGTCAGTGCTAGAACAGGTTCCCCCCCACCCCAGGTCCCCGACATAGGGGTCTCCTTCCCCCCTCCCCGTTCCCACCCACCTCTTCACAACCTGGCATCAAATAAAGACATAGATCAAGAACTTGCTCACATTACCACGAACAGACTCCACTCAGCCAAGAACGACTACTCACTCACTAACACAGCGGCCGCCGCCGCTTCCAGCTCAGCCCCCTCCAGCACCAACACGAACATTTCCGAACGCCCCTCCGAAGGGTGGTTGGTCCACCCCCATCCCCCCCGCCCCCCAGGCTCATGCCCCAACCACCCTCTCGACATCAGCGGGAGAATTTTGCGCAATGAACGGATAAAATACAACCCTGGGGTGGGGGGATGGGACACAATGGAGGAGGTGGCACTGGGGAGGGGAGAGGCTACCAGAGAACAGGAACGTCACCCTCTCCCTTCCCTTCTCTTACTGGGACCAAACCGAAGCAAGATTTTGAACAAGAACTGGGCCAGTTTTAGGAAGGACATGGCCAGTGCTGGCCGGGGCTCCGAAGCCTTTGCTGAGGCCGCGCTGCCGTGGGGATGGATGGCTGCCACGGTCATGCCCCAGGACGGTGCCAGGCCACGGGGGCTCTGGGAGTTCGTCCGGAGCACCCCAGCCCTCCATCGCCCCACAGCCCCCACACTGGCGGGTCCAAAACACGGCGCCTTCGCCCGGGAAGTGCTCGCATCCCGACCCAGTCCTGGTGCAAACGACTGTGCACACCACAGGGCTGGGAGAAACACGCGGCTGGGGATTTCTTAAAGCTCTGGGGAGGAGTACCAATTCTGCCCGACAGTGTCCCGTTAGCGCAGTATTATTACTTTTGTCTTTACTTTTTCCAAAACATCAGCATCCACCATAGCCTGGGAACATTGTCCGCATCTCCATCCACCTCTTGCCTCTATGGAATATTTCACCACTGATGCAAAACAGTGGAGACATCCTATCATCCCATCATCATTTCACACCCTCCAACTGGTATCTGAAGATCGAAAATGGATCTTTATCAGTGCAGAGCACTGGTGCTGCCTGCCCTGGTGCGGCGAGCTCAGCCCCTCCGGTGACCGCAGCCGGTGACCGAGGCTGGCCCCAGCCCACCCTACCGGGGCTCAGGCAGCAACCGGGAGCAAGCAGCAGCAAACTGAGCAGAAGAAGGGATGTTCCCAGGAACATTATTACGATGAAAATAAAGTCTCCTGTAACTGAAGGGATTTAAAAAAAAATCACCCTCATGTTTTTTTTTGTGTGATTTTTTTTTTTTTTTGCTCTTAGAACTGTCTCTGCCAAGTTGTGAAACTTGTTGGTTCAGTTCTAAATCAGGGTCCAGGATCTGTGAGCAGAAGTCGAGGGGTAGGAAATGGGGAAGCAGTGGTGGTGGGAGAAAAATTATATATATATGGGTTTATATACACATATATATATATATAGGTGCTTGATTAGTTAAGTGCCTATATATATATATACACATATATTTATAGCTGGGTGTACTGGTACTCGATAGGTCAATCCAACACATCTTTTACCATTACAGCATTTTGGCATCCACAGACTGGCTGAACAAACCTGACGGAGTGAAGGTGCTGGCCTACACCTTGTGTGCGTTGGCACAGGAGTCAGATCTGAAGCCCATCCTCTCCCACTTCCCAATGGTTTAAAGTATCTCATTTAACAAAATCAGGAGTCTTGAAATGATTAAAGGATGTTCAACAAGGCAATTTTTTTTCTGTTTTGTTTCGTTCTGAAAAAAATATAATATATAAAAGTGGCCAACCTCAGGAAGATCCAGGAAAAGGATAGCTGAAGAGGTTTTGGTCCATAAAGAAATACTTTTTCTTCTTTTTTTTGTTTTTTTTTCCCCCCCCCACTTGGTTTTGGGTAACAAAAGTTTTGGTCCAGTTTAAAAACAACAACAACAAAATTATCTATATAAACTCGGGGTTTTTTGCTCTCTGTTGGGATGCATGTTGGTTTCATATGGGCTCATTGCCTGTATTGCATGATCGTCTCTCTTAGGTTTTGGTGCAATAGGTATATTTTTTAAGAAAAGAAAAGCACAATGTGGTGTGTGTGTGTGTGTGCATGGTGCGTGTAGCTGCAGCTGGCATCACTTGGAGAAAAGGATGAAGTCGATGCACTCCCCCCATGGCTGGGAACTCGGGACTGCTTTGGAAATACCCTGTTAGTGACTCCTGATTCGGCTGATGAACAAATCCCTGCTCGGATAAGGAAAAAAGAACAAAGTTCCAGACTCCACGGTGGCTCAGAATAACAAAATAAATGCTCGTCGCCTGGTGTGATCCCAATAGGTTCTTCCAAACCTTCTTCAGTTTCACCGGCGTCGTTTTTATTTCTTCACCTTCTTTTTTTGATTTTCTTTTTTTTGTGGTTTTTTGTTTGTTTTTTTTTTTTAGAAAAAAAGGAAAACAATAAAAGTTCTTTAGCTGTTGATTTTTTTTTTGTTTAAATCCTTGAGGTAATACAGTTGTGCCCTCATTCTAACAGGTTCCCAGAGGTTGATGGTTTCTTTCTTGTTCTTCTAACTCCCCGTCATCCATTTTCCTTTCTTTCTGTTTGTTTCTTTCCGAGTTCCCAGTTGGGCTGACATCCCTGGGGGGGAGGAGAGTGGGGGCTTCAGGCCAAGACAAAGGTTGAACGTGGCTGGAGAAAGGCTGGCAGGGCCCTCCCCGTGTCCCTGCTCCCTTCCCGGCCGATCCAGGTGGCCTGGCTTGGTCATTGCTGAGAAGTCCCAGTCTCACCACCAAAAAAAACTGAACTAAACCGCTTTGCTTGCAAGATCCGAGTGTGCGTTCAGAGTACTTGGTTTACAAAAGACATTGCAGGCTGGAGCATTGTTCGCCCTTCAAAATTTCTGGCTTTGCTATTCATTTTAATTTTATTATTCACTTATTCTTTTTTAAAAAATAACATACATTGCTTGTAAAATAATTTCTTTCTTTTTCTTCTTCTTCTTCTTTAAATTAATTTATTCTTTCATTCGTTTGTTCTTCAGATGTCATTATTATTATTATTATCATTATTATTATTATTATTATTATCATCAGCATTTTTCTTTCATGGACCCCCCCACACTCCCTTCCTACCCCCCACCCCCCAGTGCCCTGCTCTGTCTCTTTAGGAAAATATTCTAATGGCCTGAGTGGCTGCTGCGTGGCAAACCGGGCACTCCGGATCAGTCCTCTCGCAGATCCTCACGGCACACTCCATACAGAAGAGGTTGTGGCCGCACGGCACCAGCGCAGCCGTGACCTCGCTTTCGAAGCACACCATGCACTCACGGCTGCTGGCAACGGATGTCCGGGCAGCGGCCGGCGTTCCCAGCTTGGAAAACCCCTGGAGTGGCTCCCCCTGCGACCTCCTGGGCAGCCCAGAGAGGCTGGGCTCCGGGATGGAGGAGGACGGGGAGCGGTGGGAGTTGGGGTGGATGGTGCCAGTGCTGCTGGAGCGCTGCTGCTTTGAGAAGAGCACTGAGACAGGGTTGGTGTTCTCCTGGCCAGCCCACATCGGGGCCCCTGACTCCGGCACCCCGTAGTACAGATCCTGCTTGTTCACGCCGTAGTTGGGGAAGAGGTAACCGTAATTGAAGTCGTTTTGGTCGTTCAGCCGGGGGGTCTCATAGACAGGGTCAACGGAGCAGTCGCCGATGCAGCCCAGGCTGTTCTGCCGGAAGGTGGAGAGGGGCTTGCAGCCCGGCGCCGGCGTGTGGACCCGCCAGGCCTCTGAGTAGCGGTTCTCCATGCCAGAGTCAGGGCTGCTAGAGAGGAAGTCGTTCTCATTGTTGTACTCCAGGATCTTGCCCGTCCTCACTGCAATGTGGGTCTCGATCTCCTCCCGGGCGCGCTCCACGTTGCCTGGCGCGCCGGTGATCTCAAAAACGGGATCCCGGTCCCGGCTGGGTGTGATGATGTAGGTGTTGGTCTGCTGCTGGATCCGCTTGATGGTGGCTCCCTTGGGGCCCACCACCAGCCCCACCACACGGTAGGGCACACGCACCCGGATGGTGACCTGCCCCGGCAGGGTGGGCGCGCTGCCGAAGGTGGTGCCTGCCTTGTTGCGGGAGGCCCTGATCATGGAGAAGTGCTCGGCTGCAGAGATGATCTCCCGCCGGGCCATGGCCACGTCCTCCCGCCGCCCCGTCACCATGAAGACCGGCTCCTCGCCCCGCACCGGGGTCTTGATGTAGGTGTTGGTCTTCGCCCGCAGGGCTTTGATCTTGCAGCCTTGAGAAGAGAGAGAAGAAGGCACGGCAGTTAGCAAGGCCAGCCCACCGCCTTCCCTGCTCTGCGGGACACTGGGCTGAGCAGCCACGATCTCCTGTGCCACATAGCAGCTGTTGCCCAGGACCTGGAACGAGGGAAAGACTCTTTCCCCTTAACCCTGATAGGGATATGCCAGAGGGAGGTCCACCCTCACCATGCCCAGAGAGTCCCTCCCTCAGGAGCGCCACATTCCCTCATCCCCCAAAATGGGAGTCACCATTTTGTGTGCTGCCCTGCATTACACGATCCCACCCCAACTGCCTCCCCTCAGAGATCATCCCCTGAGATCTCCCTTCCACACACCCCAACACCAATGAGTCACAGGGGGATCCAAGCCACCCGCAGGGGCCAACAGTCTCCATGAAGAGGCCTGTCCCCAGAGCCCTCGGATGGCCCCTCAGAGAAGATGGTCACCTGGGGCTCTGGGGACAGGGCTGAAGTGTAGGGCAGCCAGAGGTGACAGGAGAGAGCAGGGAGACACCAATCCCACAGCCTGGGCAGTAGATGTGGTGCCCCTGGGCCACCCTGTGCCAGCTCATGAGGGGAGTCACCAGCCATGACTCCAGAGAGCAGAACCCTCCATGGGGACATCTGTACTACTGAGGAGGTTTTGAGGTGAATCCGGTGAATTTCAGGGGGCCAAGTTTGGAGGGGAGTTGCAAGAGATGCAGCAATTTGGCCACCCCACCCCAAATATGGCGGGACCCCAAACACTGGCACTACTAGATGGTTGGGGGTAGCAGGACACCAGGATTTGCTTTGAGGGCAAAACAGCAAGAAATGGGGCAGGGTTGCCCTCCTATGAGTCCTACAGCAGGCTGTGCACAGATCCCTGTTCTAGGCACTCAGGCCCTCTTCTGAGATCACTGGCCAAGCCTGTGCTTTCGTGTACCAGTATCCACCTCCTGGACACCAGCAAGCCCATTCCCCATCTCCCAGAGCCCACCAAGTCCATTCTCTTGCTGCTAGGGCCCACTGAGCCCCTTCTTCCAGCTCCAAGAGCTCACCAAGCCCATTCCCCAGCTCCTCACAGTTCAGAAAACAGTCTTCTGCCTTCCCAGAAAGGACAAAAGACTTTCCAGTGTGTTTTGGCTTCCAAATGGTATTTTGGAGTGTCTCAAGCCAGTTGTGTGACTCCAGGTTCCGAGACAACACCAGGATGCTATCAAGCAACGAAATATTTTTACAGATGTGGTACAGTTCTCTAAACTACTCTTGGATGTTTCCTTGCTGCTGTCCTGCCCCTCAAACCCCTCTCTCCAAAACCTCACTCAGTGCCCAAGGCATTTCCAAAGCCTGACTCCAAATTCCTGTGCAAACTAGGGGCTCCTCTGCAGGAGGATTTGGGTGTCTGACTCAGGCTCATGGAACTGGAGGATGAGGATGCAGCATTGGGAGCACCGTGAGATGCCCCAGCTACTCCCACCCCTGAAGAGCCCATTTCTTGTCCTCTCTGACCATCTGACACCAGCAGGTTTTCCCCAACTGCGCTCCACTGACATCACACTTTAACACATAACGACCTGCAAACAATGCCTCTGCAACCACGAGATGCAGATTTCTCAGCTTGCGGGCTGGAACATCATTATTTATACAGATCCTAGTAAATAACAGCACCTCCCCAGCTGGGAGTTCAGGGCTGCCATTCAGTGCTGCCACTTATCCACAGCTCGCCTGGTGAGACACAGGTTGGTGACACCGGGGTGTTCACCAGAACGCAGCTATCCCACCACTCCGTGTGGTTGGCAAGGATCGAACTCGGGCACCTGTGGCGATGGAAACAGCCTCGTGCCACTACAGCTGACAGGAACTCCCCGTGCTCGCAGGCGCTGCAGACGCTGCAACCAGCGGTGCCCCGGCAAGGAGCACGCTCAGCCCGGCTGGCTGTGCCCACACCAGCACCACGTGGGCACCAGGCACAGCCCCGGTGATCCGCAGACATCGGCATGCACAGAGCCCTCCCGGTGCAGCTGTGAACCCCATCGCCCATCCGAGGGTCTTGGCAGCGCCGCGGGACACGTGCCGGTAAATCCGGACTCCGCTATCGACTCACAGCACGACTTTTAACTCCTCAGAGCTACTTCAGCTCCCAGAGCCTCACTCCCCCATTTGTGGAGTGGGGAGAATAGCTGCCTCCTGCCTTGGGATCCCACAAAACTTCCTCTAACACTCCACATCGCAGTGCTGCTGCACTAAACCCATCTCTGAGCCATGAATTCCATGTTCCTGGGGAATGGAAATGCCAGATCTGACACAGAGAAGGAGCTGGGCAAACCCCCAAATCCAAACCAAATCCATCCCTTGCCAAATCAAGCGTAGCTCACAGGTTACTCCCCAGAGTTTGCACCCTGAGGTAGGTTTGTGATGCTTTGTTGCGTAAAGTTTCCAAACAGCCCATGTGGACTGATGGTCACCCTATGGTGTGTTATTAGTACCCAGGAAACCCAAAGGACAGGACCTCATGGAGTCAGGCACGACTCGACTGTAGGATAAACCCACACAGGCAAAATCCAGAACAAAGATTCATCCCAAGGAGGGTAGGATAAAACTCTGAGGGGTCACCTATGTCCTCTAGCAGGCCCTGGGCAGGGTGGGCTCCTCCTGACCCACCCCTGGTAGACATTTCCCTGCCCTGCTACTGTGCTGCTGGCTCCAAAGATGGAGATTCCATCTTAGGAAGATTAACCGAGATGCCACCATTTCCCCAGGGATATCACCGAAGCGTCACATGGAAAGACAGGGGGGTGTTCACGGCAAGTATCGAGCTGCAAACGCCTCCCATGCATCACCCCAGGGTGAAGCAGCTCTGCCGAATTCTGCGGTGACCCGCGTCCTGCCTCTGGAGCACAAGGCTCACTCTCCTGAGTAGAAGGACCTCAGGCAGGCATGTGGCAGGGTTGGGCTTGGGCTCCGCGTTTTTTTGAGCTGGCGTGGGGGAGAGGGATCTGAGGATCTGAGCCCGGCACGACAGGAAACAATCACAGAGGCGACACGGAGGGTCAGGCAGGCCGAGCGGTGACAAAGGACAGGGGCTCCATGCTGGGGACAGATGGAAGGGAACAGTGGCAAGGAATACACATGAATAAGGGCAAATGTAAGTGTGGTACATGAGCTGGAGGGGTGGGAGGGAATTAGGGATGGAGGAAAGGTGACAAAAATTGAGCGAGAGGCACACCCTGATCCCTCCAAGGGAGGAGGAGAATAAGAGGTGTGGAAGCAAAGCAGAGACACCCCAAAACAGCAGAAGGAAGATGGGCAAGGAGAGAGCACGGCAAGAGGGAGGAGAGGGAGGATCTGGAACGGACAAAAGGACGCATGGTGCAGTCGGTTGTGTGAGAAGGGGGGGAGGAGGGAGGGTCTCCATGCAGGCCTGCAGACAGGAAAGCCAGCTTTGTAGAGACAGACAGATGGGGATCCTGTGCTTAAAAATGGGAGAAAATTACCCCGCAGGAAATTAGACCAACTCTGGCAAGCCCAGTAGCCCAGTGGGTTCAGCAGCCCTGATCTCCAGCAGCTCCAAACTGGTGCAGACAATGGCCAAGCCATCAGCAGCCCAAATCCAAAGAACTCCACAACTTCCAGGAGTGCTGTGCTGGTTTACATCAGCTAAAACCAGGCTGTGCTTAAATCTGATTTAACCCCTTTGTGCCAAGGCTCCTGGCTCACCTCAGCCCCAACCCTCTGACCCTGCTTTGCACACTAAACAGGGGCTGAGGCTCCTTTGAGATCGCCCTGTTTCTGAGGGAGCCAGATCAGGATGTGGCCCGTGACACCCCAACCGGATGAGCAGCACAGCCCAATGTGCTCATTCCAAATGAAATTTGTTCTGTATGGGGGTGGTTTTTTTAACACTTTCTTTGTGTGTAACTGAAATTTGAAAACACCATGCAACAAAGCACTTTACTTGGTGGGTAATTCAAAGGAGAGGGAGGTTGAGGGAGGGAATTGTTTAGCAGGTGATGTCAAAATGTGAAACTAAGGGGAGTAAAGGACCCGTCGAAGCTGTACTAATACGTAACTTTGTGTATGCTCTCCTCATTACAGCAGTGCGCACTGGTCGATCCCTGGCACACTCCTGCCACTTAGATTTTTATATTAAATAGGGAATTAAGCCCTTTCTCACTGAGTTTCCACAACCTACCTTCTATTATCCTGGTTTTTGCCAATAATGCGGATTCCAAAGCATTTTACAAAGGAGGTTGTAAGCTCAGTTCCTCTCCACACCCCTTTTTCTCTTTAATTTCACTGATTGCCAATTGACTCAAAGCAAATGTTTTTGCAAATTACCTGAGCACACCACAAACATTCCCACACAGGACCAAACCCTGGAGGACTGGCGAGCCTCTGTGCCCAGACCAGTCAGCTAACTGGAATTAATCCGCAGAACAGCCAGCTCTGGCTGAAAACATACAAATAAATTGAGTCTAGACATTGCCAAGATGGGGGGTGGGGATCAGGGGGAGATTTGGATGCACAGCCACCTCCTCCTCTCTGCTTAGCCCTGCATCAGGGCAACAAATCCATCAAAACTACTGGAGAAGGCTCCAGGAGCTTGCTGCACCTCTCCAGCTAAGGCAGTTGCTCTCGAGGGCAGTGAGGGTGCCGGACGCACCAGATCTGTTTCCTTGGCATGAGTTCATCCCAAATGTTCTCACTCTGAGCAGCCCCAAACCAACGTGTTTCCATGGGACCTCACTGGGGTTCACACCAACGCTCCCAGTAGCAGGAAAACACCGGAGCAGTGCACGGGATGGATGTGCCCACCACACCACACGTGGTGACAACGCCAGCAGGACAGTGCAATGGCATGTGCAGCCGTGCCCATGGTATAGATCCATTGGATATTTCACTTTGGTGTAAATTCAGAGTTAAACCTGCTGACAACCTTCTCCTCAGTGCTGCCAGAAGGCCAGATTCTGAACAAGTACATCCTGCTACTGATGCAGTCTAGAGGCTCTCAC